GATCAAAAGCTCACACAAATGGTTCATTAATGCATAGTAAGTGAACAGCAGTCTTTTAACAATATTGTTGTGTTCTTTGCATTTTTTGGAGTCCTGAGAGGTTCTAGATGTTCTGTTATAGGGTTTAGGTTTATTTGGCAAAGATATTTATTCATTGGCTGCCATATTTCATCTCTTGCTTTAATCAAACTATACCTACTAAATTTTCTCTACAGTAGCTCACTAAAAGCTCGCATTTCCAAGCCACAAACAAATAGATTCTCTTACCTTCCTGCCCTACTGTCCTGAAAGAAAATTCACATTTTTAACACTTTTGGAAAGACCACCAGGGTTGGAGTATCTGAATTTCAGGAATTCTGTTCCGGAAGAGAGGTACAGTAACAAACATACTTTCCTAGGTCCCATCTGATAGCATTCTTTAATTGAAGGAACCCAGAGTATGCTCACCCTGTCAGGTCCCTTGAGATAAGCAGAAATAATTAGAGAAAAGCCTACCCTTTGCTATGAAGAGCTTTGCATGTGATAACCAGCATTCTGGATATCCAAAGGAAGCCAATGATATTCTCCCATTAGAATTGTTACATATTAAGGTAACAATTAAGGTATTAAGGTATCCATGCCACAACATTCTGGATCAGCTGCATTTTCTGTGTTTTTAAGGGCTATCCCATGTTGAACACATTGTAATAATCAAGATGGGAATGAGCAGGACTTCTGATCTAGAAATGGATCCAGCTTGTGTCCAATAAAAATTTGTGCAAAGGTCTTTGTTGGCACAGTTGCCTTTGAGCAAGGACCAAGTCTAAAATACCCAAGTTGTACACCTATTATATCTGGGTATGGAACAAAACTGAACAACTTTGTTCAACAATACTAAGATTGGTTGTTTTATGTATGCTAAAAAGCAATTTAAGCAGTTAGAACATACAGTGGAACCCAACAATAAAAAATAAATGCTAACTCATCATAAAACTCAAGGTACAACCCCACATTAACCCTTATTCCCCATGAAGAAAAGAAATCAATATACATACTTCTCTAAGGAGCTGCATGTGTTTGGGCAATTCACTATTGATCCGGAGCAATTCCTGAAACTCCTGCCTGAATAAAACCAGTTCTTTTCTCTTCAAATATTTCTTATATTCTGCAGTACTCATTATCTGATCATATTCTCTTTTTTGCTTGGCATTCTCAATACTAGAAATGTGAGAAAAATATGAAATGGAGCCAGAACAATTAATCTTTCCCAAAACCAATATACAGTGAAATTATGAAGCTTGACTAAAGAAAAGCAGTGTGTTTCATTAGATTGAAGGGAGTCTATAATTATGTTGAATGGAATCTTTTGGATAGGGACCTATTTATTTAATATATTGTAGAAACAAAAAAAGTTTTTTTTTTTTTTCAATATAAAATTTTTATTTTTATCATAAAAAAAAAGAAATACATCACAGATATTACACAATGTTATATCCCATCCCCCCACCCCTCCAGACTTCCCAAACCAACCTAGGCTGATATTCAAATACAAGTAAACAAATATTAATATCTCTAACTCCAAAGTCTAAACTTAAACAATCCATCTCCTCCGTATTAATAAAAATTATTCATTTAGTTAGTTCTTCAAATATCCAAAATCTTTACCATTTCAGCAAGATAGTTTAACACCATCCCTTACTTATACAAAAA